GCTGTCCCTGCCGCCAGGAGCACACGTTGGGCGCTGAAACAACAGCAACGGAAGAAAACCTTCCTGTTCACCCTCCTCTTCGTTTGGTTCTGTTCTCCTGAGAAATCTGATTAACCAGATCTCTGTTCTCTTGTCTGCTTTCCCTTCTCTCTCTCCTCCTTTTCATTTGCTCCACTGTGTCGCCTTTTCCCCCACCCCCTTCCCCCTTTTTTTTTTCCTCCCCTTTTCCTCCTCCTCCACCCTGTCCGCTTTGATTCCCGTGTCCTGCTGTCGCCTCCCTCCCCGTGGCTCCCAGCGGTCGCATCAGTTACACAGACATGTATGAGATGCTGAGACACATGTCCCCACCTCTAGGCCTCGGAAAGAAATGCCCTGCTCGTGTTGCCTATAAGGTAGACCAACCTCCCCACCAACTCCTGCCAAACCACCAGCTTTTCGTGCCGTGGCTGAAGTGGCTGCTGGTTTTCTGTGCCATTGGTGTTGTTCTTCTGGACTTTTCTGGTGCTTTTCCAAGCAGACTGGATTTTGGATCTTCTGCTTATTATTATTATTATTATTATTTTATATATATATATATATTATTTTTGTAACCTTTTTCTGGTCTTCGAAACTATGGCACATCAGTTTGTCTTTCTAAGTACGTCTCTGCTCTCTCTCTCTCAGTGTTTCTTCTCTCTCATTCTGCTTCCATTTAGGCTAATTTTGGGAAAGGAGGGTGCTAACGAGCAAATTACCCCGCCAATAGATCCCCATTTATCTTCCTGCAGCTCTTTTGTCTCTCTGGCCCTTCAGTAGTATGTTGTTTGTTCCTCCTCTTAATTAGATTGGAGTAATTAGAGTAGGCAGTGCTGTAGGAGTGAACAAGCCATTAAACAGAGACAACGCCAGAAGGGCTCCTTAAACACCCTCGTGGAAGAAATTACTGTAAGAGCAAACATTTCAGACAGTCAGATGAAGAAATCACTCCAACTTATTGTCTGTTTGGGAGAAACTTTTTTAATTGGCCCACAAAAATGCTTTTCTATCCCCGAAGTGCTGCCTGTCAGACACTGCCTGGGTGGGAACACAGTGGAAAGGGGGAGACACCTGGAGCCAAAGTTATGGAGCAGATCCAGTTCAGGCCGTGCAGCCCTCCCCAAAAACTCACAGGGTGGCTGGAAATTTGCATTTTTAGGGTGATTCTTTGGAAGCTTTTAACATTGACCCTCCCAGTTTCAGAGGGGGAGGTTGATTATAACCATCTCACATTGGTGGAATTGAGAATCCATCCAACTCTACAGGGTTTTATTTCACTGTTTCCATCATTCCAGCACCACCAAATCCAATCCCTGCACCCCACTGTGGTTGGTTCAATGGATCCAAATCCCAACAGCTCCTCCTGTGCTGTGTTTTTGAACTGTGACCACATAAAAGTGGGATTTTTTTTAAAGAGGCTCATGCTAAACCCAAATCTGGCTCTGCCTTTATGTAGCAGCAAGAATTCAGACACAGCTTGCTAAAAGATCCTCCCTCAGCATGCTGGGATTTAAAATGAAAGGAAAATTAAACATACCCTTAAAATGAGGCAGCTGTGGCTTTTCTGCATTTCCTTTGATTTGTTTCTGGCCACTGAACTCAGCTGAAGGAACCCAACTAGATCAGGTTCCAGCTACTTCAGATCGATGAGTAGATACATGAACATCTGTCTGGAGACACCAATTATCCACAGAAATCCAATTATTCAGCCCCTGGGAGTTTCCACTGACTTAGAATGGAGCTGAAAGCAGCAGGAGGTGTTTGCAGGTGGGCACCCAGCTCTGCTCTGTGGTACCAGAAACATAAAGTTCTCCTTATCCCCCCCCCTCAAATCTTGTACAATTAAAAACACAAAAGAGGCTAAAAAGATCATGTGTTAAAATAGGCATTTTAAATAAGGTTTTGGGCTGGTTTTCAGTGTGGTGTCCCTGTTCTAAAGCACCAGAGCAGACAGACCCTTCCCCAGCCTCTGAGTTTCCTGCTATCTCATTTAATTTGTCTGATTTACAGAACAAATCCACAGAACTTTGGCTACATGGGAACGGATTCTTCTTAAAAGGCTTTTTTAAAGACATCTTTAATTTTGTACCCATGGGTTCCAGTCAAACAGCTCAAACCCAGACTGAACACCACATTTCTCTGAGCTTGGAGAGGATCACATTCATTTCACACGTTACCAAAGAGCCCTGAGCTCCAGAAATACAAACTTCAGGCCAGACCAGAGTTTTCCCCGTGGTGTAAGGCTGCACTTTGGGCTGCCCCCTTCCTTCCAGCTGATGATAAACCCAAACCCTCATGGGGACACAGAGCTGGTTTTTGCTCCTTCCCTGCTCCACTTCCACGTGCAGCACATCCCTGGAGCCACGCTGGAGCATCAAGCCCTGGGACAACCAGGGGTGGCTCGTGGCATTCCCTGCCCTGCTCCTGCCAGGTGCCCCCACCAGTGTCACCCCATTGTCCTCCCACAGCTCAGGGGAGGCTTGGGGAGGGCAGTGCAGGGTCAGACCCTCCCCCCAGAGCCAGCACAGGGACAGCAGTGTCACCAGCAGCCAGGGCTTTGTCTCTGCCCTGGTTTTCCTCTCTCCCTCTGAACCAGAAGGTTTTTATAAAAACCTCACTGTCCTGTCCAGCAAAAGCTCTTCTGCCCCACGTACCCACCCTTTTTCCTTCCATATCTACTTTTCCCAGTGCTCTTTGAAGGTTTTGTGTGTTTTCCCTCCCTGTCTTCGTCCGTGTTGCCTTCTCAGTCCGTGCACACCGTGGTTTTGGTTGGATTTTCCCCCCTTGGCAGCCTCCTTGGCTGCTGGCCTTCCTTTCTGCTGTTTTCTGGCTCCCCTTTCTCAACTGTTCTCCTTGGTCAGCCTGACCAGCTGCTGCAGTTCCGTGGGCTTGGCTTGCTGCTTGCTGGAGGTGCATGGCTGGGATGCTCTGGATGTGCTTCTCGGGCACCAGGAGAGCTCTATCCTGCACTGGGGTGGGGGAGAAAGGGGGAAGGGACTCAGTTTGCTGTGTTCTGTTCCTGGCCACTCACTGCAAGAAGGACACTGAGGGGCTGGAGCGTGTCTAGGGAAGGGGCTGGAGCAGCAGGAGCAGCTGAGGGAGCTGGGGGGGCTCAGCCTGGAGAAAAGGAGGCTCAGGGGGGACCTTCTGGCTCTGCAACTCCCTGACAGGAGGGGGGAGCCATGGGGGGGGCTCTTTTTTCCAGTTAACAAGGGACAGGAGGAGAGGAAACAGCCTCAAGTTGTTCCAGGGGAGGTTCAGGTTGGACATCAGGAACAATTTCTTAACCAAAAGGCTTGTCAAGCACTGGCACAGCAGCCCCAGTCAGTCCCCATCCCTGGAGGGATTTAAAAACCTTACAGGTGTAGATGTGGCACTTGGGGACATGGCTTAGGGGTGGCTTGGCAGTGCTGGGTGAGGGGTTGGACTCGATGATCTGAGAGCTCTCCATCCTAAAGGATTCTGTGACTCTATGAATTTAAAAGTCTCTCATACCCAGTCAGATGGAAAGAGGGAAGAAACCTACTCTGACTTCACTCTGGGGCCTTGAGATTTGCTCGTTTGCCCATTTTCAGATGAGGGTGTTTTTTCCCCCCTTTCACACTCATGTTTGAGACTTTGAGGCCTCTCAGACAGACTCAGCTTGTCAGAGAGAAGGCTCCAGGGGTTTGTGTGCCCTCAGGAGTAGCAGGGAGGGCAGATGGCAGCCAGCTCTGCTGTCACCTGGAATGACTCCAGCCTTGGCACCACAGAGCCTCTTCCTTCTCTTCTGGGAGACTGAAAAGCCCACGAGGCCACAGAATCTCTCTGGCACTGCAGTGCCACCAAGACACAGGTATTTCCAGGAGGAGGGTTGGAGGATGGGTTTTTTTGAGAGCCTGGGGTGAGAGTCTTTGGAATGGTGTGGTGCTAGGAGAGGGAATGACCCAACCCTTGCCCTTCTGCTCTTCAGGGTCCTCTTCTTCCCAGGAGAGGATGACACTGGCAGCAGACTCATCTCCCCCTCTGTCCAAGTGCAGCTCCAGGTGAAGCCCTGGTGGGGCTGCAGGGCAGTGCTGGCACAGCCCAACAGGGCTCTTGGCTTTGTTTTGGGGTTCTCTTGGTGTTCTCAAATGTGGCTTTGCACACCCTGTTTCAGGAGTGATTCATTGCAGGGATTAGGAGGGCTCTGCTTTTCCCTTCAGCATCTCCTGAGACAGCCAAGGCTCCAGGGCTGATCCCACAGTGTGGGCAACAGGGCTCTTGGCTTTATTTTGGGGGTCTCTTGGTGGTCACAGATGTGGCTTTGCACACCCTGTTCCAGGAGTGATTCATTGCAGGGATTAGGAGGGCTCTGCTTTTCCCTTCAGCATCTCCTGACACAGCCAAGGCTCCAGGGCTGATCCCCCAGTGTGGGCAGCAGGGCAGGGGGGATTCTGCCCCTCTGCCCCTCAGGTGAGACCCCCCTGCAGAGCTGCTCCAGCCCTGGGAACAGCACAGGGAGGACATGGAGCTGCTGGAGAGA